CGCTCCTCCTATGCCTTTTTCTTACTTTCTTATCCTTCTGCTTCTTCATTCTTACAAAAGTTAAAATTTTGATGTGGGTTGGTGGGTGGCTTTTGCAGCTGAATTATATTCTTACTGCATGCTTAAATTAAGAAAGTTAATTAATTCAACCGTATTCTTAATGCTCACAATAATTGGTGGTATAAATTATGTGGCAGGTGAAACATCATACAATCTGCTTTTTTTTTTCAAACACGTCAACCTTACATTTATCACTAAAATAACAGAGGAAAGGTAAGCGTTGGACTCTAATGTTGTGTTGTGACAACTTACAAGTCATAGTCACATACATATTAAATAATTAATGTTGTATTTGACATGCTAACAAGTACTAAACACATAAATGTTTTTTTGCATTGAATTAAAAACATGCTGCATTAAGAGAAAAAATGTGGCAATAGAAATGGAATCGCAGATGAAACGGCAAATAGGATGATGATGATGATGATTGGTAGGTGAGAAGATATGAAAGAAGGCAAAGCTTGTGTTTGAAACAATGAATCCAAGGCCTCATGTCCCCATCCAAATCCACGTGATCGTCACTCCAAATCAGAAGCTAAGGTTACACGTATCTTTGTTTTTAATTCACTAATTCTGAACGTAATTTATCATGTCATCCCTAATCTCATATTCGTAGAAGGATCTTGAAATAAGAAAAAATCTTTTGTAGAAGTCAAATAGCCCGTTTTCGTAATGGAGTTAAGGTGTGTACTGGAAACTTCTCTACGAGGGATAAGCTACAGGAAACAAACAATATGACATTAAAGTAACTTGTTGTAATCATACGTTGTTGCTGTTGTTGCTTTCAGTTCACGCGACAATGGGGTTCGCTCTTTTTATATTACTAACGAAAAGTGCTTAACCCTAAATAATAGTAATCATACCCCAAACTCGGCAACAGAAAACAATGTAGTATCTCGTAAAACACATTTGCAATAATAAACAAAATCATGCCTCTGCATCATCATGTCATCTTGTGACATGAAAATACTTTTTTTCTAGTAAATTAATCAAAATATTCATAGAAGCTCTATCTATTTGATTCAGGAGTTCATATATTTTAGTATCAATTTGAAACAGAAGACAGGTTATTGTTGGGTAAAATATATAAAACTCGATACAATTTTTTTTATTCAAAGTAAAAATTATTCAACTTAAAATAAAATTTTCAAAATAAAAGTAAACATACGAACAGTCATCCAATACTCACAGGTTCAACTACATTTTAATGAGATTTTGAATTATCTATTGTGAATCCGAAAAATAGTAAGAGTTGGCAAAAATTAAGGTTATGCCCTGCGAGATGAGAGAGACATAATCATGTATTGTAAATGAAAGTCTGATTCTACAAAAGGCAATAATTCACTAACACTGCTATTTATATGACAGATTCACGAAGACTCGGAAAGATTAACTTTATGCTGGAAAGCAGAAGCATAGTTGACACACAGGAGCAACCCTTCTGTTATTTTCTTACACAAATGGTACGGCATATTAATTCAGACCCACTAACATCGCGGCTTTATTTTCAACTTTGAGGAGTTTCAGAGACAGTATTGGCAAGTGTCTAATTGTGTAACCTTTTGAAATTTAATAACTGGGTCATTCATGTGATTTTTTTAAGAACATTGATGTAATGTTAAGTTAAGCAACTTCAGATGACTTCTTAATCTAGGGCCTCCAGTGTGGTTGAAAATTTGAAAGAAATTCACCAAATTAAAAGTTTTATAGTTTGTGGTAGTGATGGGGTACATGTGTATCTCTCTCTCATCAGGATTCCTATACTTCTAACAGCATTTATAAAAAAATATAATTGAATTGTTTAAATAGATCTATTTTCTTCTTAATCAAGACTTGCTTACAAGCAATTAAGTTTAACTACATTCTTAAATTGGACCAATCTCAATTATGAGGAAAGTCTTTAAAGATGCCTCGCGATGTAACCCTGTCTCTATCAATGTATATATTTACAGTAAAAGAGATGGTTTGTCAGCCACAAATATAAAGTGAATCATTTTACTTTTCACGTTTAAAGCTTTTCAGCGTAGCGACTTGTTTGATGATGAAACGGAATTGGATTGTGCTGCATTGTTATGAACACTCTTATCCGCGGTTGTCATATCAGCTTATCTCAGCTGTTGTATAATTATTAATTATTGCAGTCTTAAGTTATACGCCTATTCCGTTTTATGACTAAATCATAAGTCTGTGTGTGTAGGTGTTTGTTTAGCCAAATAGCACATGCACCACATCCATTGAGCCATCATCCTCACTTGATCACATGGTGGTGGGGATTAGCACTAGAAATGTACGTGATGGATGGTCCTAGACCCCAAGAAATCCATAAAATTTGCTTTTGCCTTGCTTCCCAATTAGATAAAAGACCAAAAGGGTGTAGAGGGTCCAAGTTGTCGTACAAGTTGTACATGTCAAATGTCATGAGTTTCTGGAGCCTCACTTTAGATTTTTATTGCAGACTGATAAGGAAAATAGAAAAATAGAGGAAATTTTCTGCGACCACTGATAAAAGATGAAAAAGCAGCTATTACCTAGAAATACCATCTTTTTTCCTTCTTACTTTTTTTACTTTGTGGTTGCAATAAGCTTTGTCTTGCCCCCTGACAAAATAAACTAATATGACATCTCCATCACTATTATTGGGATCTTTTTGTTAATTAGGAAAGCAAATAGCAGTACTAGCAAGCAAGGAGAGTAAGTTTTTATTTTGGTTTCTAAGTACTGATAATGGGAAGTGAATGGATACTAATCTTGCTTTCTCAACACAAAAATTTGGTCATAAAATTTGTCTGCAATGTCTTGTAATTACAAGACATGGCATGGCTTAAATGTAATTGAATGGAGGTCATCGCTGAAGCTAACGTAAGAGACATAGACAGGTTACCTTATATTTGGTACAGAAGCAAAAGAAATGTAGGATAGGGGTTGAGAAAAAGTACAACAGAAAATAGAGGACCTTCCATGAGTTGTGTTAAAAAACAACTCAACAAACCCCATAACACGGAAGTTGCATCTACCATATAAGTAATAGTCCAAAATGGTTGAGGTAAATACTGTTAATGAGACATGACCACAGATTAAGCGGGAACACAACTTGGTAGTAGATCTGCTGATGGCAACTAATGCGCATTGTTTGTCACCATTATGTATGTATGTGTGCCTTTTCCTTCAATTTTGCCTTTGCTTTCGGGAAAGGAGGACAAAATAAAACAAAAACACAAGTTTGATACCATTTATTTTTTGTAAATAGTAATGATTACCACGTATTGTACTATGCCGACTAATTTTATGGTAGTGTGGTGTAATAAACAGCCACAATTACCACGTAATCCGGGATTTTTTTGTGACACTTCTGTTTACATGTATCCAATGGGCTTCGATGGTGGTAAGTGGGGAGTTGAACTAAGAAGCCCATTCCAAGATTTCCCTACACTTATTGGGTTTCAACTTTTGTAGCCATCAAACTGAATCTCAAATGCATCCCAAAATCATACTGAAACAGTAAGATCCTGGTGAATTAGATCTGATGACTGCAACTGATTTCAGAAACAATGCTGATAAAATCATGTTTAATTTTTTATTTTTAATCAGCAACGGTCTAGCGTGGATGATGTGTTAGTAAGTAAGTATCACTTGTGTTGGAAACTTATTTTATAATTTAAACTTCAAATTTACTTTTAGATAAAAACTACCATTGTGAGAATCTCATAATTTAGGATAACTATTAAACCATTTCTCCTGCATGTTAAAAGCTCTTATTAATCTATATTTAGTATAAATAGTGACAAGCTTAAGAGAGCAAGACAAAGTGTAAAGTGCAGGTTTACTCTTTATATATATATATATATATATATATATATATATATATATATATATATATATATATATATATATATATATATATATATATATATATATATATATATATATATATATATAACATTGAATCCAAATATGAGCAATTCTCAGAAGGTTTGAAGTGAGTATCAAATTATTAAAAATTTAAAAGGGATATAAAGAGAGAAGAAGCAAAAAGAAACTCAACAAACAGCTGATTGTGAAGGTACTGTAACAAGAGCTAGCTTTAGAAAATGATCAACCTGTTCAACTGGCATCTGACAAATATGTTTGAATTAGGGGACGTAGTGAATCTCTAAGGTAGAGATCACAAATAGCTAGTCTAGAGTTGTTCCAAATGCAAAAAATGGTTGGTTATGATCAAAGCCAAGCAAAACCATTCGTAATGTAAAATTATCAGAAATGACAACAAAATTATGAGCCATTCTACATACAACAAATAACTTATTGATCAACATCCATACAAAATAGATAAGTAAATAGAAGAAATACATTGTAAGGACAAAATTCTGTGCACTCGTAATCTTTTTCTCCAAACTGCATATACAACGTAAAATCAATTCCCAAACAACCGTGAAATAGATTACTGGGAATTTACCATCTATAGATATTGTACTTAAATGGTTTAACCTAATTAGTCATACGAAACACCAAAAGAATACGCAGTGCTTGTAAGGAAGAAGTACGGGTAAAACATTGTACCGTTGTATATGCAGTCATCCTAGTAGAGCCTCAAATCCATGTTTTGAAAGTCCATCCTCTGGTTATATAAATATTACAGACACTTAGTATATCTTTGCCTTCACGTTTATTGATCCAAATATTGAAATTCTAAATAGTATCTTTTAACAAAGCAACAGGATATCTCATGTCCCAATCTCATCCCTAGCATTTGCAGAAGCAGGATAGAGAACTGTGCATTTATATTCCAATGTTAGGAAGCTCAGTAGCCAAAACCTTTCATGTAGCTAAAAATCATCAAAACCATAACAAATTTCATTTTCAGAATTGAAGCTTTGACTCACTGTTTAGCAAAAACAAGTTTCAATCTCTTTTCTATTTATACAAAACCTATCGATGAAATGCTAAACATGGTTAGCTCGGTTCATTTTCTCCAGAGTAAAGGAGAAATCGGAAGAAAAGCAGAGTCCTGCTCTCCCCACGTATAATCTTGGAACTATTAAGGTTAAACTATTCATTTAGTCGATACTGTTTACACTAGTTTTAGTCTCTAGACGAAAAAAAAAAAGTTTTTGTTCTTAGACTTGCATTTCAAAGATCAGAACTAGAGGTAGAAAATTAATCATTTACTTCTAACAGGGACATTATTTTAAGAAATAGTTCCTTTGTGAAATAAAATTGTAAGCCCTTAAATAGAATGCTCTCTGTCATTAGGTTCATTCTTACCTCTGTCAGTGAGACTCTCGTCACCAAAATTACAGTCACGCACTTTTCTCCCAGCAATGGTAGGAAATAGACCCCTATGTACATCAAAAGGTGACTGATGACAATTGTCAAGAGAACAAAGCACGGATGGATGAAACCTTCCAACAATAGCTGGAAATAATCTAAATTTTGTCAATGACTGATGAAGTTTTAACACCTCCGCTGTTAGTGAACAGTTTTTAAGGATTGGAAGTAGTGGCTCAAGCCTAAATGCCTACAGCCTTTCTATTTTGAAGGTTTGATGCAGCGGCTATAACAAAAATTAATTGGTTTGTCAGGATTAGAAGGGATTTCTTGAGTTGTTGGCACGGTCATAAGGTGTGTGCATGCTATTGCATGATCCAGGGATGCACTTGGTGATTGAGGGAACTGGGGTGTTTGTGGACCAGGATGGTCTAGAGAAGTATATTCAGACATACAATCTCAGAAGATGCTCATCATAGTCCCTGGCAAAGGAGTCATCCCCAACCCCTACTGAACCAACCATTATTAGCAATGCTTCTTAATAGAATTAAGTAAGAATTTTACCATAGAGATCATAATCTATTAATAGAAGTAAGACAGAAATTAAAACGACCATACAGGGACTAATTCCTAAAGTAATATCAACTGGAGGACCAAATGAGTTTCATTCACATCATTGCCACTTGTCAGTCATGTCAACCACATGTTGACATCGTTAACAAAGATGTAATGGTAGAGACCAATCTCCAACAAAAATGCAGGTGTAGGGACTAAAACTTTCGTTTTTCTCATCCAAGAAATAGTACTTAAACTAGCAATTGCTCAATCTAAATTAATATTTTAACCAACTATTGATGTTATGCCATATTCTCCTCTTGATGGCATAAAGGCAATATCAAGGGATCGGTTTGAGGACTGAAAAGCTTCCTTTAAAAGGATTGCAGTACCAGTCCCAGCAACACCTATTTTGACGAGGTATCCGGGAAGCTCTAGGGACAACAATTAAGACAAAAACAACCATTTGCTATTATACAGATAAAGTTCACCAAAAAAAGTATTGTGAAGAGCAGAACACAAATGCTTAGTTATTTATGTTATGCTTTGTGTTATTGCATCCAACCAACTATAAAATTTATCATCAAAATAAACCAAACTGATATTTTTGAATAATTTACCTTTGCATCTTTGACAGGTCAGACAATAGGATTACATTTTGCATAACAAAAGATATTTGAAGTATTCTTCCCATGGGACAATCCTAATTATAGGGAGGTATTACAAATTATAGAAATGGTATAAAAATTAAAATACAGAAAAAAGCGAAAATATATCAAGTGAAAAAAATGTATGAAAAATTAGCAGAAACATTTAGACACTTTGTCACTAGGCAACAACTAATAATGGTATATTCGGCTTGCACTCCACATTAGCCCAAAATTGATGTTGAAGGACAAAAGGATGTTATTATAAATTTTCAAAATCATTTGGGTGTGACTACAGGTTACTTCAGCCGAAATGTTTTCCTTCGATTCAAAATAAATAAGTTGTCTAAAATACATTCTATTCAAGAGCATTTTTTCACAAGTTACTCTAGTTCCTAACCTTCATGCCTCTAGAGAGACTGAACCTGCCTTAGGAGATGTTATGACAACCCTATCAAATACATTATCGGCATGTATCAAGGATGATGAGAAGAAACGAATCAATGACGAATGACGAGGCGCTCACATGCATGACATTCACAACATGACATATCTTGTCAATTGTATCAGAAAAGATGCCTGAGATATAACATGCAAAATTACAAACCATTTTTAAGTTGACAAAATCATCACATGATCATAAATATCCAAGAGCCACAGCTCTACATTAGGCCAAATTCAACCCAGTCTATTTACCTACAAATTTTTCACATTAGTTGCATGTTACACACAATGCCAGCAGTGAAAAAATGTTCTAAGCAGTGAAAATGTTCGCCGTGATTTCAGCTAACAAAGGAAAGTAAAAGCAAAAAATGATTGTATTTGCAACTTGAAGCAAAACAAAAAAAGATATATTAAAATTAAACAAAAGAATACAATTTGTTCGGAAAAAAAAAGGGAATCGTTTGATAGCTGTGTAATCATCTCGATCCGAAGCCAGCCAACCTGCCCAAGATTCCCTGTTTGTATGGCAAATATGTTTTCTTCTTCAAATCCTCCGATTCCGCTTTCTTTCTTGCATAGTGCAATTCATGGGCGGAGAGGGGTTCCTTTCTTCTGAGCCTTGGGCCTGGGCTTGGGCTTGGCCCGGAAGTCTTCGGGTCCTGAGGCTTTTTGTAGAAAGCGGGAAACTTCCTCAAGGGGTCTTTGCTGGAACCTCTCCCTTCGGAGGCACTGCGGAAAAGTAAAAAGTCTCTGAATCTCCATTTCCTGGAACTCTTGGAACTCGAGGAAAGCGAAACTGCGTTGGAAACCGAACCCTCTTTATTGTTCTGCGCTTGGCTGGATTCCTCATCCCACGTATAGTCAGATATTCTGTTACAAGGCGAGAGCGAGCGCGTGACTCTGCTGCGACTAGAATTCGAACAAACACTCCTATCCCTCCCTCTTCTCTCTTCTTCTTCTTCACCTAAAACCTCCTCTTTCTTCTTTCCTTGGGCCTTCGAAGATCTTTTGGGCTGGGCCACAGAAAGAAGTGGGCTTTTAGCGGAGTCCGACAAACCCTCCTCGTTCAGCGGCTTAATTTTGCCACCGTCAAAAAGTTCTTCCGCAGATCGAGGGCTCTTCGATTCCCCGTTAACAAAAAACGCAAACCCATCATCACCCTCAACATGGCTCTTATCTTTATGAGCACCACCATGTTGATGTTCGTGTTCCCAATCATAAGGGGAATCGAACTGGGTGAAAAACCTGGAGGGGCTCGTGGGGGCGCTCAGGTAATAATATTCCCCAAAGCGCTTGGGCGAAGACGGAGCACTTAGATAGGGCGAAATCCTTGCTCGGTTGAAATCGAAAGGATCCTTAGAGGGACTTGCAGTGGGACTATGTGTGACCACTTCCATGTTGAAGTAATTGGGTTGGGAAACTAGCAAGAGATAGATGATGGAAGAGTAAGAATATATATAGCGAAGGAAATGGGGGTAAACTAGATGATGACGACGACGATGATGATGATGATGAGAAAAGGGATTAGATTGTTTTGTTGACCAGTGACAGACAGGGGCACGTTTGTGTCCTAACCTAGCCGCCTTTTAATACCGGTGTCTTAAATTATGTGAAGGTGCGAATAGAATGGAGTACTATTCTTACTGGACCACATGCGATTCGCGAAGGATGATTTTGAACGTGTTCATAATTTATGGCTTTAAGGTTGTTGGTAAGATAAGACCACCCAATGGCTTAATTATTTAGCCATTATACCTCCTTCTAGATAGATCACTTTTCATGCTCATGGCTTCACTATTAATAATTTTTACATAAATTCTTATTTATTTATTTATTAAATCATTGGATTATATGCATATTACCTTCATTATTTATGTTAAATTTAATCAAATTAAGCAAGCATCAAAATAATCCCATAATTCATTTTAGTTTAAAAACATTGCGGTTATTGTCTATATAAGAGTAATTTTTAGTTTTAAGTAAACTTCAACATTAAATTATTCATTTAAATTTTATTAAAAGTATAACAGAGAGGGGAATTTATAATTGAACAAGTTATGAGGTAAGCAATGAAGCATAAGCACATGAAGCCATTGTGTATGTGTCCTAGTCATATTCATATATATGACTTGTGATGTGTTTAAGTTGTAGCACTCAGATAGAAGCTGGTATTGAAAAATGCATCCTTGGATAGCTATCAATTTAGGTGGCGGTAAGCAAAGGATAAACTCAGTTCTAGAAGGGAATGACTTTTTCTTTATAATATACAAATTAAATCTACAACTCATTTTTCTTGTGCAAACATGCATCTGAACTCTGTTATAAACTCCTTATTATATTATACTAATAATATTTTATAATCATGCAACTTCTTCTTCTTCTTTTCATAATTTACAGTTTAGTTATTAAAAGAAATTTTTATTTGTGCACTTTAACTTTATATTACATAGAATTATATTTAATTTCTTCATTAGTTAGTTAACGATTAATCAAGTTTGATTTTTGTTATATGTTTGAACCAACCTGACGACCTTTGCGGCAGTGAAAGTCGTAATAAAAAGAGTACTTTTTGTGCACGCACAATAAAGTTGTCATATTTTATGGACGAATCATTTTAAAATAATAAAAAAAGTAAACTCTCTTGTGTTTTTTTTCTCTCCTTTAAAGCATTTCTCATTTTTTTTTATTTGAAAATGAATTAAACAAAAATAATGTAATTGAATTAATTTATGCTAAAACATATGGGTTTCTTTTTTTCACTTAGAACTGATAACCATGGTTTTCATAAAGGACGAAACTAATTGAACCATATAAACAAACCAAAAAAGTGTAACATTTTAAAGATATCATAACAGTAGATATTAATTTGGTACATTTGCTTTAAAATTTTGTGTAAAAAAATTCTACAAGAGTTCTATTATATTTTTAAATATTAAGGTTAAATTGTCTTGTTTTTTATCCTTCAGTGTTACATCTATGTGAATGTAGTTTCTCAAATTTTAGAATGAGTTTGTAATTTTGTAAAAGAGCGTTTTCTTTAATGAAATGTATATTCCTTCTAATTCTTAATATAAGACATATTTTTGAAGAAAATTATAGTAATTCTTTTACAATGTATTTTTTAGTTTCTACAAAGTATTAAATATCTTTTTTTCTTTATTTGTCCCAGTCAAATGTTATAAAAATGTTTGTTTTTAATGAGAATAAACTTGATGTATTGATAGATTTTATTTTTTGAAAATTTAATAAAACCAAGTGAAGTAATTAGTTTTATTGATATGTGTAATTATGTTAAGAGTATCTTATATCAGGATAGATTAGATTTCTATTTTCTTATGTGTTTGTCAAATTTTCTTGTTTAAAAAAAATGTTTTATAATAAGCAACTACTATTATTTCCTAAATAAGTGATTTCTTAATTATTTATTTTATAGACACTAATTTTATGTTTAGCAGAGGTAATTGAATCCTTTAATTATAACCAATGTGTAATTTTAATTCTCAGATTTCTATTATATCAAAAGTACATTTTTAGTTTTTCAAATATATCATGAGTCAATGTCATATATTAACAAATCTTAAAAGGTGGGGTTAAAATTACATATATATCCTCAAAAAAATTTATATATATATATCAAAATGATGCATGCATTGAGGTCAAATAGTAAATGTGGTGATAGATGAAAGGTAAAAATTATTTTATGAATGTATATATTTTTAATAATTCAATATTTTTAATTAATGCACAGAGAATATTGCACCCAAAGAAAGCGATTGAAAAGGTAAATATAAAATAAGATAAATATTTTTTTATTTTAATCATTTATTAATTTAAAGTATAAAAATATTTCCCCCTTTTATTTTTTTAAATACCCATTCCAGAAGACAATACATGAATTAATAAATGTAATTAATATTTGGTTTATATTAAATTTATCTTTAATTTATGAATTATATATAGTAGAAATAAAAATATAATTAGAAATATGATAATTAATATTAGCTTAATTTTTTAAAATAAAGAAATAAAAAATTAGTTAAGAAAGGAAAATGGAAAATGACCGAATGGATTGAAATGGAACCACTTGAATGTAATACGATATAATTTGAGTATATTGAAACCCTGAACAGATGAATTAGTAGCAAAAACAAGAATAACATCTTGGGACTTTAATTGCCTCACACCTGGGATTTGCTTATCCTCGTGTCCCTCTAAAGTAAAGGCAGCACCCAACTATTATCCATATTTTAATCATTCCTAACAATTATAAAATATTTATCATCATTTTATTTATTACATATACTAATTAGTATTTTCCTTTTTATTTAAGATAATTTTATATCAATTTTTTAATTTTTGAAATCTCAACTTTGATTGATAATAACTTATTAATTCTATTTTCAATAAAAAAAATATTTTTATATTAAAATTTATATTTCTTATCAAATCTTAAGTTTATTATTAAATAGGTTTATTAATAAAGGAATAATAAATTTCTGTATAATTAAAAAAATATAATTTTACATTCCGTATGAATATATAGATAACATACTCATTACATGCATATGTTATTATTTTTTATGCATGAGTATGTTTAAATTATAGCTATGTTCGTAAAAGTTTTTAGTTTATCGTGTTTCAAGTGTATTTAGATATTTTTTTAGTTGTTTAAATAATCAATTATAATTTATCATTTTAAATCATAATGATTTTTCTAGTTTAAATTTAGAATCACGATCTTACAAATAATCAATTAATACTCAAAATAATATGAAATAATAAAGTTTTTTATGATGAACTTTCCAGTCCAGTAAAATAATTAATTATTTCTTAAAATAACTAATTAATTTTAATTTTTTTAAAAAACTTTTAATAAACTCTACCACAAATTTCAAAGATTAAGTTTTCATCGTCAAATTATTTAAAAAAATATTCCAAGATGTTTCCAATATTTAAAGTATTTTCAAACTTAAAGAAAAGTTTAGTAATGAAGGATATTTTCGATATACTAATAATTAATTCTATTTAATAAAAATATCATATTCCTCTTTAATTTCCTAGAAATATTTTCAAGAATATCTATGAGAAACCAAACAAATTTTAATCATATAAAAATCACTGTACACAAAAATCACGATTTTCAAGTAGTAAAAAGCTTATATGTACTGTCCTTGGATAATTATTTTAAAAATGAGCAAACTTATGATAATATATATCATTCTGAATGACGATTAAAAAAATTATTTTGCATAATGAACATAACCATTTTTCCCAAATTTCAGTTTTTAAATAAATATAATTCTAAATAAATTGTTCAATACAAATTAAAAGAAAAAAATATTCTGGTTAAAAATATGGTCGGTTAATTATCCACTCTATTGCAGAAATATATGAAATATATGAAGCGCAATTTTAATTGTAACATTAATAGAACATTTCAAGACACATAGTCCAATTATTTCTTTAACTAAATTACATAATTTTCTTCAATCCTGTTAGATGATCAAATAGGCAACAATCCTTATTTATTTTATAGCAAGTAACATAGTCGTTATTAATCCTGCAAATCATCCTTGTAATTTTTGTTTACTTAAACTCTTATTCTCTATGAATAAGAAAACATTATTATAATAAAATGTGAACAATTTGGTTTTTAACCTATAAAGTTTTCATGAGAACTAAATCAACATATACAATTTAGTACAGGGGTTAAATTATATATATTACAAAATAAAAATAAAAATAACAAAACTCGTGATAAAATCAAGTCCATTTGTAATGTTCGGGACAGACTGTGTGAATCAAGTGATAGAAGAAATATCAGCATTGCTATTTACATGTAAACTATTTACCACTATCTCACTATGATAGTCTCTCCATTACTCCTATAAGAGTCCAGTTTTCAAGTGAAGTGAGTGCACTAGACAAAGTCCATTCATAGTCATTAATTAAAAAATTAATGTTTAGAATTTGAGATTAAAAAACAAGTGCATGTATTGTAACAAAATAATCAATAAATTACCATCTCAACTATTGTTATTTTAATCAATGACTAAAGTGCACTTTATTTCCTGATATACACTTCTCTCCTACCTTTATTGAAGCTAAATCAATCTAGCCTTAAAAAGACTACTGAAAAGAATAAGTTATATCCATCCACGGTGCCAAATCATTATATTAATCTTGCAGCATGAACAACCGTAATCAACATCTCCAGGTTGCAACGAAGGGCTGAAACCTACCTTAATAATTCATCATAAGAGCCTAATGCTTCCAGAATGCTTTCTACCCAGCTGAAGGTTACCAAAAATCGAATGTTATTAACAGGATTTCAAAACAAGTCTATCGGACTAATAAACTAAGTTATCATAAGTCAATTCCAGTCTATAAATAACAAAATCGTTATTTTCATTAGACCTAAATTTAATCAAGTAGTCAGTTTAGTGACATTACCAAACAATAATCATTTTAGTTCCTGAAATTACAAATTAAAAGATTAAATGATAATGTAAAAAAAACAAAAGGATTTAATTTAGTATTCCCACCATCTATACTAGCAGTATGTACTAGATCAACTTAAGCATCCCATAGGCCGAATGGTGAAAAGAGGGTTAATTACCAAAAGGAACTTATACAAATTAATTTACTATAAAGGAAAAATAAAAATAATCATATTTTCACACAGAACCACTACTAACTTCGTTAGAAAGTAACAGCTAAATTTCTTCCGTTTGTCATTTTCTATTTTTTGTCAGTGATATTTGTAATTTGCCCAAAAAGATTTCTCAAAGGTTCTATATTGACTCTAAAAAATTCAGAGTACAGGCAACAGTAATAGAAAGAAAATTATTATTTTTTGGGAAGTGTTGGGGGGCAGAGGGCAGGGGGTTGTTCTAAAAGGGAAAATGGGAGATAAGTTTGAGGATCTATCGTGGAGATTCTAAAGTTCCAGTAACTTCCGAAAGTGGCAGATAAGTATAGAGTGTTTTGTTTTTAAAAATGCATGACCTAATAAATTTAGAATAAATATAAATTATTAAAACTAGAGTTATTCTTGAATAGTCTAAGCCTATACTATTCCAAAATTAAAAAAGCTTGTTAAAGCATGGCGCAAAATTATTTTAAGAGAAAGAAAACCTTCTCCGTGTGACCAGATAGTGAACATTCATAAATTAAATAGGTACGGAACAATTATTCAAAGAATTATCAAGGGAAAGATCTGAAAAAAGAATTTCTAAAAAGTGATTTTGTGATTACCCTTCTAGGCCGGGTTGTATAGGGTAGTACACATTTGTGAAGCCTAAACTTCGTGCCATTGTAGCAGTTGTCTCACCAATGCATGCAACAGAATTGTTCCACTCTGAATCTGAAAGAAGATTCTTCCAGGCACTGTTGCAGCAGATTATCTGAACTAGGTAAATTATCTCAAGGGCGAAACCTGAGTGAATATAAAATAAAGTACAATCTCCTAAGAAACTGTCCTACTTATTTCTACAGCACAAATAAGATAAAACAAGTATTCCATGATTCATACAGTACCAAGAGGAGTCATTCCGATGCTTGTTAAACAAAGGGGTAACAAACAGTATCATGTTAATCGGCGTGAAAACAGTCACTGGATGCATTAAGAAACACATGCGTCCCCTTACATAAAATATTGAATTCAAATACAATAAACACTGAAGGTTGGAAATGAATATGAAATTATAAAAATTTAAAAGGGAAAACGACAGAAGTGAAAGGAAACTCACCTAATAGCAGATGGTGAAGCTACCGTAACAACAGGGGCAGCAAGAGCTAGCTTTAAAACCATATGATCAACATGTTGAACGGGCACCTGACAAAGAAGTTTGAAATAGAAGAAGCAGTGAATTCTCAGATAGAGACCACCAATAACCTAATCTATTCAAGTTGTTCCAAATGCAAGAAATGCTAAGTTATGAAGGTATGTAAAACTAATTGCAACGTAAAAATGTCAGATATGACAATAAAATATAAGTCATTGTTCCGATAGTTTATAAACACCCCATTCTGAGTTTATGTAACTTATAAACATCACACAACAAAAATAAGAGACATATTGTAAGGACACGATTCTCCGCTTTTGTAACCTTCTCCTTCTAACTGCATGATGGGGCAGATGCAAAACATACATGCATACAGGTAAATCGATTCCCAAAGGGCCATGAAATAGACTTTTGGGAAATTAACATCAACAAAAATTAAACTTAAATAGTTTAACCTAACTAATCATATGAAACACCAAAAGAATATGCAGTTCTTGTAAGGAAGAAGTACAGCTAAAACATTGTACCGTTGTATATGTATTCATTCTAGTAACCTCAAATCCACGGTTTGAAAGTCCATCCTCTGGTTGTATAAATATCACAGACAATTCGCATATCAGTGCCTTCACATTTATTAATCCAAGTATTGAACTTCAAAATAGTATCATTTTAACAAAGCAAAGGGTTATCTCCTGTACCAATCTCATTGCTAGCCTTAGCAGAAGCAGGATAGAGAACGGTGCATTTATTTCCAATCTTTGGAAGCTCAGTAGCCAAAACCTTTCCTGTTGCTGAAAATTATCAGAACCATAATAAGTTTCATTTTCAGAAGTTGAAGCTTTAAATTGCAGTTTGGCAAAAGGAATACAATTATATTAAATCAAATTAAATATGGTTAGATTTCTTATCCAAATGTAAGGAACAGTCAAATTAAATCAACGTCGTGCTCTCCCCTATCTACATGCATATCTAGGAACGATGAAGGTTAAATATTTCGTCCATCAGTCTGACACTGCTTTAAGTTTTAGTCTCTAGACGAAAACAATATAAGTTTAGTTCCAATACCTGCATTTTTGTTGAAGATCAGTCTTTGTCATTACATCATTGCTAACGGCATCAAGGTGTGGATGAAAAGTAGCAATGACGTGGCTGGAAATTAATCATAAGGTACTTATAGGGGTACTACTAAAAGAATTAGTTCATATATAACAGAAAAGTGCAAGTCCTTAAAGAGAATGTTCTCTGCCATTATGCTCTTGCTTAACTCTGTCAATATGAGACTCTTGCCATGAAAACTTCAGACATGCATTTGTCTCCCAGGAATGGTTGGAAATAGTCACGTAAGTTCATGCATCAGAAGGTAACTGATCGCAATTCTGGAGAACAAAGCACAGATGGAGGAAACCTTCAACAATAGCTGGAAACACTCGTTGTCTTCTAAATTTTTCAAATCAGTCTTCAATACATCATCAGCTTTTTCAATGAGATAAAGTTTCAAGACAGGTGTTAGTGCATCAGTTTGAAAATTGGTAGTGGCTCGGACCTAAATGTGTACTGCTTCAGCCTTTTGCCCCTAGTACTCTTAAATGTACTTTTGAAGGTTGAATGCAGTGGCTACTACAAAAACTAAATTGGTTGGTCAGGATTAGAAGGAATTTCTTGAGGTTTTGGCACGGTTATAAGGAGTGACTATGCCATTGCATGATCCAGGAATGACTTGGGGATTGAAGGAATAGGGGTGTTTGTGGAAGAGGAAATATATTCAAGCAAAAAATCAAATAAGGTGCTCATCATAGTCCCTAACAAAGAAGGCATCTTCACCTGTTGGCACTCCTAATCCATATTGAACCATTGTTAGCAATGCTACTTCATTAAGGAAGAATGTTCAATTGAAACCATCACGTATTAATAACAGTAATATAGAAACTAAAACTTGAAGCTTTTATATTCCATACAGGTACTCCTCAAGTAATATCACCTATAAGGGACCAAATGATTTTCATTCACATCATTGTCACTTGTCAATCATGTCAGCCACATGTTGGCATTGTTAACATCGACATAATGGTAGAGGCCAATCTTTAACAAAAATGCAGGTATAGAAACTATAACTTTTGTTCTTCTCATCCAACAAATAGTACTTAAGGTAGCATCAACTGAGCAATCTAAATGAACATTTTAACCAACTATTCATGTTATTCCATATTCTCCTTTAATAGCCTAAAGTATTTGAGATTCTGGACATTACTTTATATTTCTTTAGTCAATCAATGTAAAGAAGTTATACTACGGGTAGTAAAATGCAGGAGTCATTTAAACTCAGCTTCAGCCTACACCTATATACATAGATGGATACCTCTTGATGGCACAAAGGCAATATCAAGGGTTCGGTTTGAAGACTGCAAAGCTTCCTTGAAAATGCTTGCAGTGCCAGTGCCAACAACACCTACTTTGACATGAGGCATCCCGGAAGTTCTAGGTACAACAACCAAGAGAAAGATAATCATTTGTTATAGATATTTAAGTGTTCACCAAAATCATACAAAATTGCAGTGTGCACAAACATAACAATTATTGTAAAGAACAGAACACAAATGCTTGGTTATTTACGTTATTCTTTGTATTGCATCTAACCAACTATAAAATTTATCAACAAGATAGACCAAAAGAATGAACAACTACCTTTAATAATTAACATTTGCGTATTTGATAACTCATGCACGATCTAGATAGTAGAGCCCAGACAATAGAATAAAATGTTGCATAACAGGATATTTCAAGTAATGCAAATTATTAAAGTGGTATAAATTTAATTAGAGAAAATATATAAAGTGAGTAATCCTACTGAAGAAAATAAAAATGATGAAATTTAGTGGAAAAATTAGACACTTCACAAAATTTAGTATACCCCCTATCTTGTAGATTGTGACTTTGTTCACTAGACAGCAACTAATAAGTGCATATTTGGCTTGCACTAACAATAACCCCAAAATTTATCTTGGAAGGCAAATGAATGTGCAGATAAATTTTTAAAATCATTTGAATGTGACTATAGGTTACTTCTGAGGAAATGTTTTACTTCAATTCAAAATAAATAATTTGTTTAAAATAAATTTTAGTCAAGAGCGTTTTGCACAAACTACCCAAACAAGCACTACTTCCTTACCTCCATGCCTCTAGAAAGACTGAACCTGCCTCAGGAGAAGTTATGACAACCCAGTCAAATGCATTGTCTGCATATATCAAGGATGTGAGGGGAAGAAACGAATCATGATACTAACATGCATGAGATATAACATGCAAAGTGTAAACTATTTTTATGTTGACAAAATAATTATACGTTCATAAATATCAAAGAACCGCAGCTCTACAGTAGGCCAAATTCAACCTAACCTATTTGTCACAAACTTTTCACATTAGTAGGGCCAGATAAAACGAGTTTGACATTGAATATAGCAAATGCAATACATAATTCTAAGGTCCTACAATTCATAAATAGGAGCTACAAAGATTATAAATAAAAAGAAAATATTTTATGAAAAAAAAAAAAAGTATAATCAAACACTTCAAATATGAGCTGAGATGTGATGATAAAGGCATATTGCACGCATTTGTAGCTATAAACCCTCATTTTCATAGAGACTATTGTTAAGTATCTCATCAATCAACAATTCAACCTATAAATGTCACCACTAAGAATGCATGGATACAACATTGAAGATATGACAAATTATAAGAATTATACGACAAACACAACACTATATTGTAATGTATTAAATTAACATAAGAACACAAATATTAGACAAAAATAAATAATGTTTTAAAAGTGAGCATGAGTCAGTATAGATATAAGAAAATGCTATAACTTCTACTTGTTGTGATATTATCATTTGGATTGATATAATAGTTAAAAGAAGGAAGAAAAAAATATTGTAAAATGCAGCTAAAAGTATTCAAAGTGTCCAACATGTGCACAACACAAATATGACTATTATTTTGAGGTGTCTATGCTTCCTTCGTCACAACTTCCTGTTAAGCATGCATAAATTTATTCTAGAAATTGACCCAATAAAAGATCATTCAAATGGCATAAGTCAAACATTATAAAACATTCAAATTTCATCGCATGGATTTTCCCTAAAACTTACCACCTAATACAGAAGGAAGCCTGTCTAAATCAGGTCCCTGAGTGTGCTCAATGAGTGGAAGCTCCAAACAATTGATTTCATATTTAGCCTGCATTCAACATTGTAATTACCTAAATAGCTTCAGTGGATATGATTAGTCAGGCCTGATATCCACTAAAAAACTTAAATGGGCAAGCTAAAAACTGTAGTTATAATTTGAGGATCCTACTCATTTTATTGACATGGTCTTGGCGCCAAACCTAGCTGAACATCTAAAAGCATTGTTGGTGCCAATTATTATTGAGGATTTTTTTTTTTTTTTTTTGAGACTTCTCATTCAGATTTTGACTATAAGCTGTTTTAAACACAATAAAGTAATCCCAATAATGGAGTACATTGCAGAGGATTCTGACAGCCTCCTCCTAAATGTTTATTTGGGGAAAATAGAAGAATTTCAATGTGTAGTTCACAGTTATAGAAGATTAAAAAAAAAATTAAAAATAAATACAGTATCTGCAACATTAATTTGGATTATACAACAATTTGATCAAAGAAAAATGCAAAAACATTGATGGAACTTCTATATAATTGATTTAGAATAAAATGTATAATATGAATGGATTGTCAATTCACTTACATTTTCAGTGAAAAAAGTAAACATTGGAAGCACAAGGTAATGAAAGAATAAAGGTGATCGTTTTATCATTTCTTTTCAAGTGATGGTAAACACAACAAACTCACTGACATAGTGAAAAAATAAAAATAAAAGGCAAAGCTGCTTTATGCTTCAATTAACAAAAAAATATTGTGAAGAACAACAGTTAGTGTTCATCACCAAACTGAAGCTCCTAAACCGTTTCAAAAGACTTCTATAAGATAAAGGGAATGCCAAACCATTACATAGAACGTGCAACTTTTATATTTATCAACGGATCAAGAATTAGTAGCTGATCGTCACGAACATCAAAGAGATTGTTAAGTAAATTGTCATTAACCGAACCCTAAACTAACAACCTAGTCTAATCTTCATATATTACATAACATTTGCTACGTAAAATACATTAGATCATTGTCCGGTCGTTTATAATCATAGTTAATACTTTTAGTTTTGAGAGAACGTAGTTTCAATATATAATATGATAATCACAAGTTACAGAAAATTCTAAAAGTGACAAAAAAAAATGCAAAATCAGAGAAAGCAGTACATATTGTCACTATTCATTTCAACCTTTAATCAAACACCTAGAGGACGGAATGGTATTAAGTTTCTAGAAACATGTAACTTAAATACTGGAAATAGTTGTGAGAGAGTAAAAACATGCTCAGATTGCAGGAAGCACTAGCTAGCAGAGGAATGAGAATGAAACACGAAAAACATGGCACAGCCAACTCGTTCGAGTTGCAGTCTATAAGATTAAGCACATTGCAATGCGGTCCGAAGAAAACAAATCGTAGCAGCAAAAGGTTAAGTAAGTAACAGAAGCGAGTACCAGAGCGTCGATAAGCTTGCCATTCTTGCCGCGCTCTCTGGTGACGACGACTTTGGGAGCGTAATTGGAAGCGGAAGGGGAGCTGGACGTGGAAACAGCGTCGATGACGGAAGCAGCGGCGTTTGTCGGTGGAGAAGCGATGAAGATTGGCCGTCGCAGTGGAAGAGGATAGGGTGGAAAGGATGAGAGAGGGGAAAGAGAAAACTGGACCATTATTGTAACGTGTTGAGCAAAGGAACTTGCTCCGGGTACAGCTGTTATCACATCATTTACGGGAATGGCTCGATCCATTTCACTTTACTTTATTTTATTATTAATAATTAAAATATTCATGAATTGCCTAAAATATCTACCGACATAAACACTATTAAATTCCATTGTGATAGAATTAGGAATAAGATCAGGTGGAGGGGAATGATTGCTTGCCACGTGGCATGAGGTGGTTGGGTGATATCTATAATATTAATTCCCTTACGTGCTCGTGGTTGAATTGCAATGATGAGATTAACGGTGGAGATTTGCGTCCATATCTCCCAACCCGACCCACACCTGCTGCTTCCGAGTACTACGGGGACGCCCATTGCTCGGCTCTGTGCCCTACCTCCCGGCGACAAATGAAAGAGCAATTTATATAATAGGAGTTATTTTTATTGAAAAATGTAAAATATTAAATCTTTTATTATATTATAATTAAATAGTTCACATTTTTTTTCATAGTAAAATAAATTTTAAGAATTCGAATAATTTAATTATTTTTATAAATTGCTTTATAAAATAACTTAATCAATTTATTATATTACCTAAAGTTTTTTTAACAATTTTATTATTACTCATTACAGTCTAATGCATTGGAATTAATAGGTTAATGATAGATCAACTAAAAAAATTGTCTCTTTTTAGTTGCTACACAGTAAAGAGGGAAAACAAAAAACAAAAAAAATTTAGTAAACCATTTCAGTAACTTATAAACTATTTTGATTACTTTATAGTTTAGTTTGACTGTGAGATTCACTTATTATTAGGGAGTTTCACTTAACTTGTATTATTTTTTGGCTTGACATTAATCTAAGACTTCGACAATTTTGTATATTAAAATAAACCAAAATACTTTGGGCGTATTATTTTTTAGTTGCAAAAGAGTAACTTTTCTGAATTTTTAATTTCAACAAAGTCGATCAAACAATGTTTGTGAACGAACATCTATCAATGAATTGAAAACAAAAAGGAAACGTTTTTAAATTTAAAATGTATTGAATGAAAGGTGGTTTTTTTTTTTAATGAAAACTATCTATTATCTTATTTCTTGAAAATCAACCAAATACCATGCAATCATTCATCAACGTGAAACCTTTAATTTTTATAATACAGTACATTGTATTCTCCTTGTTATGTGATCACTTCATGATCATTGTTTTTCGTTTTAAACCTAATTTTAAATTTTTCTGTCAACTGTTCAACTTCTAATGTTTATTATTGAAATAAAATAATTTCAACCCTATATTTTTTTAAAACTGAAAAAAAGAAAACCAACGGCCATATGCTAACTAAATATTATTATTCTAAATATATAGATATTAATAATATATAAGAGCTAAAGTTGATATTATTATATTAAAGAATAAGCAAATCATGGGTTATTCCATGGCGTTATTAAAAGTTGCTTAATGTGGAAAGAACTAATATTGTTTTGTTTCTAGAAACTTGCTTTTTCTATGGTGGTGGTGCTGAAATGATAACAACTTGCAAAGATCGATGTCGACACAGTACCTATTATGGATTCTCATTGTCTACCCCAACCTTAATATTAAACATTCTTTCTCGTATTAAACGTGCCTAGACAACTTTCCTTTCACTACCCATATTTGAGTTGGGAAGGACATTAATATTAAACTTGTTTTCTCATACTCCAGATACACAATAATGTTTTTCTTTTTTCTACAGTTAATTTTGTTTACTCATAAAAAATTAACTTACTACCCTGATATGTGTTTTTTTCTGTTTAGGAACATTCCACATAAAAATATAGCAATAGTGCATGCTTGTATCAATGTTGAAAAAAAAATGCATTGAACTAACAAAAATGTATTGGAATTATAGAATCTTAAGTATTAATAATTTAAATTATAACAGTTTGTACATGTAGCATTGCTTTTTAATGGTCTCTGGTCAAACTCGTTGATTCATTTGAACATAGAAATAAATGGAATAAAAAAAGAAAAGAAGAATGTATAGAAATAGGTAAATATTTTATGTTGGATATTTTTTTAAAATTAAATAAATATTTTATAGTATTTGTATGTTTTAAATTGTAAAATTATAACAATATAATATCAATTTAACTTTTGTTGTTACAGTTTTCAAATTGTTAGCTCATAACTTTCATATTTATGTATCTTAACTTTTACAAAAGATAGATGAATGAGTTTCTCACACACACATATATATATATATATATATATATATATATATATATATATATATATATATATATATATATATATAAAGGAATTGTATAATTTAATTTTGATGTGTCAAAGAAACTTATTTATTGGATATGTTATGTATTTATGTATAAATAAGTTTACAATACTTGTGATATATATGGCAAGGAGAAAATAAGTTTTTTGTACACGTATTAAAATATATGTTATATATATATTTTATTCATGTATTCTATTTATATATAAAATAAAAATATAAAAAATATTAATATTTATTTTAAATAAAAATAATAAAATAATATTAGTTAAAACTTTTTTATATTTATAATTACAACAAAATAAACATCTACAGCACACACAATACCTTTATTCTATGGGACTCGCAATTTTTATTTCTCTCATCTTTATTCCCAGTTTTCCAAACATTTTATATTTCATATATCTTCTTTATTTTTGTTTTATTTTTCTTTTTATTTATTTTCTACCAAACATATTTAAATTTTGTTTGATGATGAAAGTATGTTTACTGTAATAATTACCATACGGCACTGTAATAAATTGTTCCTTATATCTATAAAATACGATAACTTTATCCTAGTGACCTTCCTTTTTATCTTAAAAAACAAAACAAAAAAATGTGTAAAGAAGGTGAGGACAAAATAATTTATATATTATATATTTTTTTAATTCATTAGTATAGTTCACCCATAGTCTAAGACTTTACCTCAAACTATTTAATTGGAAAGTAAATAAAATTTAATTAAAATTAGTTTTTTTATAAGAAGTGTCCAACCAAATCGACTTTTATAGGTTTAACATATTAAACACTTGGGTACGACTTTTTATTTTTATTACATGTTATACATAACTTACTGAATTTATTATATATATATATATATATATATATATATATATATATATATATATATATATATATATATATATAGTTTGTATAAATTATATATTAACTACATTATCAATTAAATATTTAAAAATAAATATTTTATAATTTTTAGAAAGTAACTGAGTAATTGTGTATTATTTTAAAATATTATCTGATTCGTTATGTGATATGTATAGTGTTAAGAGTTTGTAGATATTCAACTGAGTCTGATAAGGAGAATAGCATAGGAATACTAACGACATCTCTTAAAATGGAAACAACATCGGAGAACCATTAAGAGAACTTCCAACAAAGATCTTTTAAGTAGATTTTTCAAGCTTTTTTTTTATCATTTAACACTACTTTTCTAGTCCTGTAATGCCATGTATTTGTTAAAGAATTCCTACACATTTTTTTTGCTTAAATGACAAAAGTTCCCAGAAACTCACTGTTTATATATTTTAGTTCACTACATTGTAAGTTTATCATGTATGCGTAATGTGATTGTCAGTAAAGTCGATATCTTTAGATTTTAGTTAATTATTTTGTAAGTTTATAATGATCACAAGTTTTCGTATTTTTTAAATTACATAAATCATCTTTAGTGTAGAATGGATATTTTATATTGGATATTTTGAATGTTTTATATTTTATATAAGATCGACATTAATACGAAAGACATTAATTTACGTTAAATTTATAAGAGACAACATAAAAGATATTTTTTATGGTAAATCAATAGGACCCGACGTAAAAATGTTGTTTGATGTCAATTTTTTATGAGTCCGACTTTTAATATTAAACTCATAAAAATTTCGTCTAATATTTATAAAATTATAATATTTTTTTTAATTGATTATTTTGTTATCAAATAAGAATGAGATATCATAAATGGGAGAGTATTCTCAATGAGAAATCAACTCTATTAGCCACCTAAATTGTGCATTGATTGATGTAAAACCAATTTGAAAATCTCAAACACACATAATGGCATTTGCATTGCTTCAACTTTGATAAATATGATATTCCTGTGAAAGAGTATGACTGAATGTAGATGCATTGGGGTAGAATTTGCAATCTTTTAAATATGAACCCAATTATGAACAACAATGTGCAATAATTTTAGTTCTTATATAGAATTGAGATCTACAGACAAATCATACTCCGACTTTCACTTTAATAAAATATGAGTATTGAATAAATATTTAAAGTTAATACTTTATTATTTTTTCTCTATAAATTCCAATGATCTCATGTTTTAAATTAATGATATAATTATATTAAATTTATGATAATGTTTTAATTGGATAATGTACCAGAGACATAATCAAGGATAATTAAGTTGTTGAATTTTACTCTCACATGTTTATTAAAATAATAACATATTTATGATAGTTTCAAATTATATTTCAAAAATTGGTCGGTGTTTAGTGGGGTGCGAGAATTTATTGAAATAGAGCTATATAGAAGAATGGCCATGTAGACAACGATATCCGTTAGGCTTCTTGGATCTTCAACTTCATCCCAACGCATCAATATTTGTTTATTTTAGATATGTTTGGTTTTCCTTTATATGCTCCAAACTCAATTTAAAAAAAAAAATCTATAACATGTTTGATTATATCATAAAATACTTTTGTTACATGGAAATTTGGCTTAAAAATTCAAATTTATAGAATCAAAATCCGTGTTATTTTTATGAACTCAGCTTTTAAATCGAAGGAGTGTTTGATAAACTGAATTTTCTTAGTTTCTCAAAATTCTGAAATTAGAAAAAATAACAACTTACTTTTCAAAACATGATATTCCCAATAAACAAAATTTCTTCAAATAATTTTTAGCCAAGTTTCGCATTAAAATACAAAATTTATTGAAAATATATCATGTTTAGCATAATAAAAATCAAAGATTTATTGAATTCTTTTTATACTATTACTTTAATATAAAAAATTAAATATTTAAATAAAAATTATACGTTACTTTTTAATTTCTAAAAAAACTTATATAAACATTTATAAGTATTCATTAACCAGATAAAAACTTATATACACATGACCTTTTAATTTCTAAAAAACTGAATTGTATAAAGGCTGCAAAAATGGACCTTCGCAACAATACCCACTTTAACCATTTTTTTTAACCCATTAAAAACGTAGTCCCCTCAGAATCCACCCAAAAGCCATTTTCTTCCTTCACTTTTTCAGATTTTGGGTTGGGTGTGGTGCTTTCGGACACCTCTGCCTTCTTTATGCATAGATTATTTAGACAATCTCTGGCTGTTTGATAGACACTTCATTGCATAAATAAGAATCACGTGGCAACTAACTTCATAGAAACAAAGAAAAATCCGATACAAATTAAAAATAAAGAAATATTTTAAGGTGCTGCAAAGCTTTCTCTGACCAATTTTAGCAAAAACAGAAGAAGATTATTTTAACCACGACTTCAGTACAGTAAAGCAGAGGATATGAACATCAGAGAAAGCTTTCAAACGCATCCAATTGATTATCGGCACATCCAAAAAAGACATTCTATATAAACTATTATAGTAATTTAAAACCAAAAAAAACAACAACTCATTTTTAGCTTAAATAGACTAATTTTAGTTTATAAATTTCTTTTAATTTTTTTCTCCTATTAGACGATTCCAAAAAACTCATCCAAACCAAATATAAGGCGGCAGAAACAATTAAAATTCAAGCAAGAGGACATACTTAAGCATAGTTAATTATTCGAACAAACAAGTTTAAATCCTCATTACTCCTACGAGTCTAAACGAATGATTAATTGAATTCCTACCTTTGGTTATCAAAATTCATCTCCACTCCACAATTAGGAGGGATTCTTCAGAATTCAACAGATCAAGCAAGTTACAAGGGAGAATGTTAATGTGGTAGTTCACGGGCGAGATGCTGTTGAGTCCTACTCCTGCACTGCACTGCACTCAGCTTACTTGCTGCTGGTGTCCTCCATAAATAGGGTATGCCCCATAAGCAGCAGCATATATGCTGGGGTCATGAGGAGGTGGTAAAGCATATCCATAACCATCATAGACAGGCCCCCCATAATACGCCCCACTCCAAGGGCTGCCGAAATCTACTCTAAACTGCTACCCAAACATATGACAACAGAGAATATTTGCAATAGCAAGTTAATGTCAGACACCACGAAAACAAATTTACTAGAAAGTCTGCATTTTTCCAGAACAATCCAACCAATGAAAATCAGAAGCTTTATCCAATGCTAGTAGAAACCAAGATAATATATTAAGTGGTTTACTAACATACTAAGAAAATGTTATTTAACTGAGGAAAGTAACTAACATAAATGAGTAGAAAGGTTATTACTGTAGTCTGAGTTGAGGGTCAAAAAAGTCTAAAACAATGTGTGTGTATATATATACTCATGCATGCTGGTCTACTTTTTATTCATTGAGATTGTATGGTTTAATATTTAGTTTTAATAAAGAATAGTTTTAAAAAATATTTCATAGATGAGATTAACAAAATTAAAAGCTGTCATTTATTTGTTTTTTATTAGGGTGAATTAATTATTTAATGTTTATAGTTGAAATCGAAGGAACTATATGTTTTTATCTCTATCAGGAATATCTATTTTCACTCTGACGTACGATCAACTTGTACATCAATAAAGGATAACATCTATATGAATATATTATTATTTTCAAGTTCTCGATTCAAATGGTAATACATGGGAGTTCTAACAACAAATAATCTTCATTAAGAAATTATATTGAGGAATTTAAAAATAAACATTTGCCATCATCTGTAAATAGCAATGAACTTCATTTAAGTTTTGCCGTTTAACAACTATAACCTGATAATAATTTTCGTTTTTCTAAGAAAAAAGTGAATATACATGCACAAATAGATTTGTTAATAATATACTTCCCTTTTCCTGCTGCATTTTGGAATGAAGGAATGAGAAAGAAACAATGGATTTTATAGTTTGCTTTCTCTTGTTTGATAGTGTTTTAGATATGGAAAATTGATAAAAAATAATGTAGGACCTGCATGTTTTATGATCTTCTGAAATTGAAGAGAAAAAAAAGGAAAGTTATTTCATGCGTAAAAGACAAAATAACATTATTTTATATATGTTAACAGTATCTATATAACATATTTTTCACTTTCTTAACAATCGAAAGAGGAAATAAAAGTTTGAATATTTTTTCTTTTCTTTTCTACCAGTTCTTAGAAAAGCTTCTAAATTTTTAATCATTTTCTTTCCTTCTCTCTCATTTCCTATATCAAAGATACCCGTACAGCGATTACAACAACTATGCTTTACTGATTTTAAATCAACGGGGAACCGAATGAATTTTTTAATTGTAGTAAAATGATGTTTGGAAAAGCTTAAATTATATTATAAAATAGTTTTTTTTTTTAATTTAACAAATAATTATTTTCTAAAAGCACCACGTGGTATTAACTGGCGAGAGCCTTTGGCCACTTAATCAAACTAGTTCCTGTAGATTAATAGTCCTGATAAAATGGCAATGAGAATATATGTCCCTGCATGTTTGAGAGAGAGATTACCTGCTTATTTGCTGGATTGCGGCCCCATGAAAGACGAACCATCTGCTTGCCAACAGTTGTTCCATTTAGCTTCTGCAACGCCTCTTCAGCATTATTTCTGGAATGGTTGAAGTAGTGGACACGCATTATAATTAAAAACCATGTTATATGTGAACATGTTAAAATTTAAATGATAGGGTCAGAACTCCTCCCTACCTGTTTGCAAATTGTACAAAACCGCATCCTTTTCCAACAGGTATCTTAACAGAGACTATCTCCCCATACTGGGAGAATGGCTGCCTAAGATCTTCAGCAGTAACGTTAGGATCAAGACCTCCAACAAATATCTATAGTTGAATCAATCCATAGAAAAAATAGTGACAAATCAATTTTGTTTTTGCTTGAGAAAATAAACTAATGAAAAGCTTACGGTTGTGTTTGTAGAATCAGCTTCAGATTGGTTGGATGTGCCATTTGATTGACTTCCTATACAAATAAAGAAACGAAATCAACACCCAAATAGTACAGATATTTCATACTTTTGCAGCAGCAAGCACAGGACAAACAAATGCAAAAGTTAAATTTGCGTGACATAGGCTTTATTCGTATACTGTTTTAGGAAACAGTTATGTTTTCTAAATTTTGTTTGTTTCTATGAGACATTTGTAAAAGTGTTTGTTTCTGTACACATTTCTGTTTTCTAAAAGTTTATCTCGTGGGCACCTGAACATTAGTGTAGAAAACAGGAGAGAATGAGAAAACATTTCTCAATTGTTTTTTATTTTTTGATTTTAAAACACTTGGAAACAACTTTTTAAATTTAATACATTCTAGATATGGAATTGATTGCTAAATACTGAGTATAGACATGTTTTAAAAAACAGATTTTGAAACAAAAAATCTTCGAAGGAAAACAAAGATTCGGGGAGTTTGATGACATATTTACTTGACTACTCAGGAACAAATAACATCATGCTGAAATCACCACTCCTATAATAAATCCATGCATATAGCTTACATGAGCAATAAAAATGCACTTCCAATGTCTATCAGTAGCAACATGGTGCAAAACAAGAAAAGTTGAGGGTAAAACAGGAAACAGGCATCTAAAAATATTTTCTTTTAAATTGAGTGTAAGAACTTTTCGTGGTCTTACTTTTAAACAAGATAATTTCAGATAACAAAACCAATGATTGGGATTTGGTGTACCTTGTTGATAGCCAGACGTTTTCCTAGGAGTTGCAGCACCAATACGCATAGGCCTGCTAGAACAGTAAACACCATTCATTTCAGTCATGGCCTGAGACCTCTCGTTATCATCTCCAAACCTGACGAAACCATAACCCTTTGAACGGCCAGTATTGGCATCAAAAACAACTTTTGCAGCTTTAACAGATGGGTATCTATTAGAAAAAGTTTCATGCAACATGCTATCTGTAACATCCGCAGCTAAATCTCCTACGAAAATAGAAAGATCAGGAACATTATCTGAACGCTTGTCTCCTGTGCTAAATGATGCCCAGTTCAGGCGGAAAGGTTGCTCTGTGTTAGGCATCAATATCCCAGCATAATTCTGCAAAACTTTCTCAGCCGTGCCATGCGAATAGAATTCCACAAATCCGTAACCCTCTGATAGACCAGTCTGTTTATTGCGAATAACCTTAATGGAGGAAATCTGCAAAAAATGTACAATAGTAAACATTGCGAAAAGCTCAGGAACCAGTTTCCATCATAACAAACAAATTAATCTTTGAATAATCAGATTATTTTTTATCTAACTACACCAGCAGAGGAATGACACTAAAATCCTATGTTACCTGCAACAACTGCAACTATATCTAAAACCTTCATTGCCTAAGCCCCGCCCAAGTCACCAAGACGAAAACCTTCAATTTCTCTTAAATCCTAGTTATTCATACTTCAAATGGTATAAACGAAATTTATCACACCAAAAGTTCAGATTGGTGCGCACAGACACGTCAGACTTCCCACCGATCCAAATTTAACTAAATTGAATAAAATGACACCACCTAAATTGATACATAGCTTGAAATGTCAGACAATGAAATTAGAAAAGAACAAATGGAATAGGTAAGGTGCAGAAAACAAGACTGAAAAACGAATTATCTATCTGTGAACATAATGTAGATGAAAGAAGCTATCTCGTAAATTTTGGTTATAATTATACGCAACATTCATTTTTTAACTTACAATCTAATGCAACTAAACTGTTCAGTAGTCACTGTAACACAACATTTCTTCCTTATCCTTTTGCATAAGGTTACAAACACAATTTCATGTAACACACAATAAAAACAATAAAACCTTAATAAAAAGTTTCAGGTTGGCTACATGGTTCGCAACACAGGATGATTTTTTCAAATAATAAATACCAATTGAAAATTCTATTCAATTTCTAAACTTCGGTTAGCTTGTTTGGAAAAACAAAAAGAATATCACCTTTTGATCACACAATTACAAAAGGAAAACAAAAAAGAAAATAAGCAATATCCTTTCCTCTTACATTGCCGAGGTTGACACTGAACAACCATGCAAAAAACTTCATATACCACATAATAACACAGAAACGCCAATCCAATTATAAAAAACCCATGTCAGACTCATCAGCTCACAATAATATGGATTTGAACCCAACCTTTTTAAACAAAGTAACCGGACGGAACAGTTATTTTACGTTAAAAAAAAAAAATCCGAACAATCAGTAACAAAACACTACTAGTATGCAGTGTGCGTCAAAGTAATGCGAGAAAAGATATACAGAGAGAGTGCAAGAACAAAGGACCTCGCCGGTGGAAGCGAAACATCGGTGGAGATAATTTTCGTCCATCCAGTGATGCAAATCGCCGACCCATACGGTCTTGTTCTCGGCGCTGGATCCCTGATGGTGTGCGTGCGGCACGTGCGGGAGCTGCTGCTGGTACTGGTGGTAGGCGACGTAGGTCTGCGGCGCCGGCGCTGGCGCGGCATAATGTTGAGGCGGCATCATGTGGTGCTGCATTACCATGGCGGCGGCGGGGTACTGCATCGGCACCCACTGCTGCGGGATGGGGACAGGCTGCGGGGGTGGCGGCGTCTGCTGGTTCTGTTCGGTGACTTGCGAATCAGAGCCGTTGGTTGTTGGTTGCATCTTCTTTCTCAATTACCGTTACGGCAAGCGCCTCTCTCGTTATTCCTTCTTCCTTCTTTTACCCAAAATAATAAATAATAAAAATAGAAACGAGGGAAGCAAGGCGAGTTGGTTACGCGAGTATGTGTGAAGTGAGTGAGAGAGAAGAGAGAGAAGGGTTTGAATCTGGATTTTGAGAGAGGTCGCGGTAAGGTTAAGGCAAGGGTCTCAGAGGATGATGATGATTTATGATTTATGATGAGGATGACGGATTCTTGGGTTGGCTTCGTGAACGCGGTTCCCCTTTACACCGTTAGATCAATTGGTGGGACTCCATCTCAACCGTTGGATCTATTAATCAGGGATATGCATATCACTACTACTTTGCTTCGTTAACTTCCCTTCCCTCTCTCTCCAGGATCCGCCGCCACCTCTTCCTTTCATTCCCTCACTCCTCACTGCATTTTTCTTATCTTTTATTTATTTATATTATATTTATTTATTTATTATAGTTTACTCGTTCCTATGTCTAGGTGGCACTTATGTGTGGTAGTTTAACTTTATTTAACCAGCATAATTTTATTTTTACTAGGTTGTTTTTATTACGGTGGTGAGTGACGTTGGGAAGTTAATGGCAGTGAAAACTAACGGCATGGTAGATTGCCTTGGAATCAGATCACATGATTCAGGACTATGATCTCATACTATCACCCTCACCGTACTAGGAATTTCTCTATCATTCTGCGCTGTTTTGTTCCTATATCATTTCTAGAAATAAACCATCATATCTTTTATTTTAATTATTTATTTAAGAAAAAAAACATAAGAAGATAACTTATAGAACATGATTCTGTTACAGAAAAGTTTAGCTCCTAATTAAAAGCTATGCTTTTAAAAAAATTATATTACATGATATCTTTAGTTTTGTTTTATCACTATTTTCACGCTTAATTTGTATGCAACTTTTGAATACGAAGAAATCTTTCCTATTAAAAACATGGCAATAAATTTTATGTGTATAAAAAATAATCATATAAAAATTGGAATAATAACAAAATAAATTGCAGTATATTAATTTATAATAATAAGATTAAGTGAACAACGCATACTATATTAGTGAATATCTTTATTCATTCTTTCTGTTATTTTTTTTCTCTCGTAAAAGACAATATGTCCTTCGGAACAGAGAAAGTATAAGAAAAAATGTTGGACTGTTGCATTAACTCGAAATTTGCGCTTTCATTAACTTTTAAAATATCGATTTTACATAATAATAATTTAAAAGGTAAAATTTGATTTAACCTTAAATAACTTAATTCCTTATATAAAATAAATATAAATCATCATAGAAAAAGAAAATAAATATTAACACATCGTGAAGGTTTTGAATAATTTGTAAGAAATCTTACATTCAAAATTCATCATTACTAAAAAAATCCAAACCAAATTATAAATTTATTAAAAATTAGAAAAAAAAAACTAAATGAACATGTGACATACAATCCCGTAAAATATAAAAATAAGGAACTCATGTCCATTGCATGTGCATAAAAACTATTAAAAAACTTAAATCTTGTGAACGGCGGAAGAGGAAATTATATTTTAGAAAAAATATATTTTAGTGTTTATTTTTTTTATAAAAAAATTATATTATTTATTTTGTAATTTATCTTAATTTTTTTATTAATGATTATTTTATTTTTATAGAAAATATTATTATTTTTAGATAAAAAATATTATAATCTTTTGTAGTAATATTCTAAAAAGATATTTTATTTATGAATTTGTATATTATTATCATGATTCCTAAAACTTAAATGTAAGATGATTTTGATGAAGGAATTTAAAATTTGATCTAGACAAAAATCTGTTATTTATGGGAGGTTGTGCTAAGAAGTAACAACATTAGGTTGATGTATTTTGGGTAGAATTGGAGTAAAATAATAATAATAATAATGATAACAAATCATAATTGATCATATATATGATTGGAGTAATTAGGAAAGTTTAAATTAGTATTTTAATTACAGTAACCAAGAAAACCAATGATTATAATTAATATAGTATAATGGAAACAAATCAAATAATAAATTGAATACATTATATTTCTTTTAACATCTGAAATGAATTAAGTAAATTGTTGTATTTCAAAATACCACTGGGTGGATAACCTCAAATAAAGATAGTACAGCATCATAAAGTAGTTGGCAATAAAGTAATTAATATTTTTCAAAATGAAGAAACGTTGGAAAATAAAGAGTACAGTCACTATGGCTATTCTGATTAGACGTTTCTGCTTTGAGCCCAACTGAGTTTTAATTCCCACATGATTGGGTGGCCTAGGCCTTCCCTAGATTCCAAACTCTAATGAGTTCATGGAAGTAACGGTCCCAGGAACATCTTCCTAACTTTTCAATTTTCATAAATATTTAATCGCCACTAGAATTTTATCACAATTTACATATATAAATTATTTTAAATTATTCAATAATCATTGTAACTTTATATATTTATTTCAAGAAGATTGGTAGAAATATCTTCAAAAGAGAGTACAATATTTTTTTAGTGAATATTAGCAAAGAATATTTAATATAAATTTTTCATATTTTAAGTATTGGCAGAAATTCACGTCAAAGTTTTAGTTTTATTTCATATTTAATAAATTTTATATACCTTCAAATATGATTAAAAGTGTTTATTAGATTGAATAATGTGAAGATACAATTTGATCCAATCAGATTTTTTTTATAATTGAATTAAATTTTATCTAACCTAATATAACTATATTTTTTATTAATACTTAAGTTCTGTTTAATTTAATACTCAGTTTAATTTATCCCATTAAAATAATTAAATAATATTAATAATAAAAATATAAATATTATACACTTTATTTTATTATTATATTAGTTTAATATATTTTTTAAAATTATTAAATTATTTTAATATTAAATAATATTTTTTTAAATTAAAAAAATTGAAATTAAATATTTTAATATTTTAAAAAATTTGTGATCCAATTGATTCAACCGATCTAATTGGATTAGATTGGACTACGTAAGAACAATACAAACAACCCATCAAAAAATTGTTTACTGACTTGAACCTTGAATTTGACCAAAATACAGTGTAAAATAATATTCTCGACGGATTTGAGTTTGACCCAAAATTAGTATAAAATTATATTCACACTGATATTTTTGAAGAAATAAAAAAACACAAAAATCATGTAAAAAATAGAATAAATGTTAGTCTCATTAAAATTAGATTTAAATATATTTTAAATTTATATAGAATTGGTTAATTTTAATTTTGGTTCTTATAAATTTTTTTATTCCTCATCTCTGAAAATTTTGAAATAATATTTTTTAATCCTTATAAAATCTTGAAATTTAATTTTAATTCCTATAAAATATTTTTCTCTACTTTTCATTCTCTAAATTTTCAAATCACCAATTTTATCTCTAAATTTCATTTTAGGATAGATAAATAGCATCCATAAAAGATTTTTTAAAGACTTTACTTGCTAAGACATTTTATCACAATATTAGTAACTACAACTTGAAATAATCACTTTATTCTTCAGAAGTGTCAAGTAATTAGCAATAAAAAAAATAACTTTAACTTTTAGAGAACTAAAAATAAATAATTTAAAAAAAATCAAAACTAAATACTCATTTAAATACATACTAAAAATATATTTAAACCTAAAATATATACTTAATATTTATTTGGTTTCACTTTCTAAAATGAATATTTTAGTTAAATATTTATTGAATACAATAATCAAATTAAAGAAAAAAAAAGAAAAAAGCCATGGACAGGTTGATATATGAGTATAGTCTAAAGCTTAATATATATACTATGTTTTAAAAAAAATCGTTTCAATATTTAAAAAGTTTGTTTTTTTTTTCCCTTAAAAGCTTACTTTTGCTAATCTCACACCTAATTAGTAAAACAGTTTTTAGAAAAATAGAAAGAAAACCGCACTAAAATGTTGCAATGAGAGAGTGCATTGATATGTTATTAAAAGTAAAAGAAAGTTGCATAATTACAGTTTTCATTTTAAATAAGCTCAATCAACTTTATACAAATAACAGTTATTTTAAATTGCTAGAACTCTTATTCTCATTGAAAGGAAAATTAATTAAAAAATATCTAACATAGATTTAGAAATTGTTCACTTAGTGTATAGTATTCACAAAGACAATTTACCCTGTAACATATATCTTTGAGAAGCGAGTGCTAGATATTCAGTATTTGATCATAACAAAACTAACCATTTATATTGTAACTAGATTGAGAACTAATGTTTCCAAATTTTCTTCCATTACGTTCCAAAAAGCCACTGAAATGCTTGCAATAATAATCTTATTATGTCTACAACCTAGTCATAAAATCTTTCATATCATATGTACAAGCTACGTAGAAGCATTAAATGCTGGTCTCTAATGTTGTGAGAAAATCTATTACTGTATTTGATTATTTTTGCCAAGAAACCTTTGGTATGGCGTCCCCATGAGCTCTTTCTGGACCTCATCCCAGTTTTCAATCTGATCCGATAATGGGGCAGTGTGTATCTTTACTTGACGGCTCTGTAGATCTCTGTATGGCACCCTTAGAAATTCTTGAACATCCTTCAGTTTCTGCAACATAAAACATTCAATATATACAAACACAATCCTAAATAATTAAGGTTGGAAGAAACATAATGTGTCTTTTCTTTACAGTGCGGTTGTTGACAAGATCATCGTAGTAGAGAACAACGTGGCGAGTGTTCTTAAAGTATGTGATGGCTTTTGCTGCTGTCTCCTTTGTTAGCTCTAGCTCTGGTATCAGCAATGTGATATTGATCCGTGGTCTATAGTTGGCAAGAATTTTAGCCTGCACAACCCACAACTAAATCACTTTTCAACTGAAATCAACACAAGTTATACCAAGGAAGGAAATAGTAGAAACCTCCAATTCAGAGTGCACGTGAGACTTATGGGTTCCATTCAGTGCCTTGGCATCTTTGTCAT